CAGCTGTGTGTTCTCTGTCTGCAGGCAGAGGGGGGGCAGCCCAGTCCTCCTTCCTCATTTTGGGGCTGAGAAGGGTGATTTCCTTTTCCATCTGCGTTTCTAAACAAAGAAGCCTCAAGCCGTTCCCTGAAGCCACTTTTATTTCTGTTCCCAGAAATAGCAAGTGATGGAGCTCCTTTCCAGTGTCTCCGGATCCTCCGTCTTGTCCCTGACCTGCTTGTTTCTCCTCTCCCTGCATGGCTGGCCAGGTAAGCGATGGCTCCGACCTGCTGACATATTCGCGTCCTCCTTCCAGAATGATTTTTTTTTTCCTCCTCTCTCCTTGGTCCTTGTCCCTTCTCTCTGCTGCCCCTCTGTTCCCCTCCCGCACGCCTCCTGTACGGTGTATTATGCTGCCTCTACACATGCGTTTTGTACGATGACCTTTTCATTGGATGACCTCCATGCAGCGCGTTGACGGGAGAGGGGGATCTGCGGGATGGGGGAGCTCCCGGGGGACTGCGGGGCCGAGCCGGCTCTGCCCCCTCTCCGGGTTGCGGTGGCGGCTGCACTCTGCAGTGTAGCTCTGCTCCCTTGCCCTGCCAGAAGCAAACTTGAAGGGAGACGTTCCCCTTCCTAGTTAGACAAGGAATTAGGCAGGGATGAGACGAGGCATGCCGTTTCCACCCCTTCGCTGAGCACCCTCTGCCAGCTATGTGAGAGGTAAATCTGAGCAAATCTCTGTTGCTTGCAGAGCTGCTGCGCAGAAGAGGAAAGCAAGGCAGAGCTGGTGAGGAAATGGGGTGCTAGCCTTCTTTTGCTGGCCTGTGAAGTTTTTTCCTGTTAACTACCCCATTTTAGCATCTGTCTGCTTCTAACTCTTGCTGCTCTACTCTGCTGTTGAATGCCAAAGCAGTGGGGTTTGCAACACGCTGTCGCCCTGCTGGTGTGCTGCCTCCACTGGCCAGCCCGAGCCATGGAGCTGCTGCTTCCAGCTCCAAGCTCCATGTGCCCTGGGCCACCGTGGGGGTCCTGCTGTTGGCCCCTCAGGTGCCAAAGCTCTTCCCTTTTGCAAATTTGCAGAGGTTCAGAACAAAAGGGAAAGATCAAGGTTTACTCCTCTCCCTGGCTTGTTTCCCTTCCCTCAACGGGAGCAAGAAGTTTATTGGTGCACCAGGAACCGAGCCCTGTGGTGGCTGCTGCTTTCAAGGATTTTTCATTTTTAGGGCTATTAGTGTTGTATGATGCTGTTAAGGAATGTCTCCTTCCTGCCCCATGTTACCTAGGCCTGTGTGCACGGGCAATGCTTTTTTGCCCTAATTTTGAGGGCCAGCAGCAATACACCCAGTTGGGGAGCATCTTGCCACTGGGAATTTCGCCTGGTCTTTCCAAATCTCACATCTTCCAGCTGGAGCCCTCTGTAAATTCACAGCCTAGGTCTATTTTAAAATCCTAGAGTCTCTTTTACTGGCCTTTGACCTTAGGGGAAGCCAAGCCTCTATCCCATCGTGCTTTGCCCACCTCTGGGCACCTGCGCCTGCTTCTGCCCCTGGAGCCGAGCTCCTGGCTCCTGCTCGGATGGGGTGCCTTGTTACCACACCGTGTGCTCTTCCCAGCTGTCCCGCCTGGCCTGTGGATGAAAGCCACTATCTTGCAGGCTGATCGGAAATGTTTACCATCAAAGCTTTATTTCGACAGAGACTTGAGCCTGACTCTGCAAAAACTTGAACAGAAAGCAAATGCTTTCAGCACAACACTCCTTCCTTTCTGAGCTGCTTGATCACAACTGAGAAATGTTGGCCCCAAGCTGAAAACTCCGAGTTGCTGAAAGCCAAGAAGGCTTTGGCTGTGAGTTCCAGCTTCTCAATGAACCGTTACAATTTCCTACCAGAAATGAATAGCTAAAACAAAGCTGTTCCGTTTAATCGAATGTGGCCCCAGAGTAAGAACCTGATATTTCCAAGCTGGAACCACAGAAAAAGACCATCCTGGCTCCCTGGCGGGGCAAAGGCCCTGGGTTAGAGAAGTCATTTCTAGCAACGATTTTAGATGCAAATATGCAGACTTCTAAACCACATAGGTAGCCAGTTCAGACACTGCAGTGAACTCTCCTGGGGCCACTGATCAAACTGTCTGCTGAACTCTGAAGGACCTCGCACAGCCTCCTGCTGCTTGGTCCCTGGAGAAGCAAGGGGAGAAGGGAAAATCCAATGGGACATTTTTCTGTAGGGCAAAAAGGAGCAAAATGCTGGAAATCAAAATTGCCAAGTCCCCTTGCAAAATCTGAGCCGTGAACAGTGCTTCTATGTAGGTTTTTCTCAACTGAGGGACTTCAGCTACATCTCCTGGAGACTCCAAGGAGGAGGAGATCTGTTTGGGGGGCTTTGGCTTTAAAGCTGAATTTCTCCTAATCCTGTAGGAAGGAAGCTGAAACAGTGGTTGTGTGTGATCTGATTCTTCTTTTGATACCATATATGTAAAATATACCCTTTACAATAGGCCTCCCCAAGCCTGTCTGGAATCTGCATACCACTGTATAACTATCTCTGGGATCTCTTTTCTTGTCTTCCTCTGAGCTGCAAATTCCAGGCGCTTTTTATAGCCAGCACCTGTTATTTTCCTTAATGGGGAGCCCCACTGCAGGTGAAATCCCAGGCATCGAACCCAGCAAATTATTTTGGGGCTGCTCTGCCTGTCAGGACGTTCATTCAGCGGGTGACAGTGATGCAACTCCCAAATGCTGGTGGCCAGCTGCACATTGCCTCTTGAGCATGTGGCCTTCCTTTAGCAGTCCGAAAACTCCTTACCCAGCTACTTCTGAAGAAAATCTATTTTTACCAGAAACTATTTAAGCACTGTCTCCTGAATTAAACCTCAGCCTCTTGCAATCTGTTCAGTATCAAAGACTTCAGAAGGTGCAATACAGGGGAAAGTGCTGCGGAGACAGAAATTCCACCACAGTGGGAGAGCGAGGCACTGTTTCGTTCCCCAAATAATGGGATTATTTGGGGTGGATTTTGCCAGATGGGGCTCGGCACTGACAGTGCTCGTGCCTTTTTCTCTGGGCTGGGGGTGCAGTAATTCGCTTTGCCCTGTGCCGCTTGCCAGCCTTGTTCCCTGAGCGCTCTGGGTCGGCGTTGCGAGGATGCTCACGCCCGCGGGGAGACGGTCGGGTGGTGGTTTCAGGGCTCTTATACTCCAGAATTAGCAAAGAGTTTAGGGTAGAGCAGATCAGAGGGTCAAAGCATCTAAACTCCCCTTGATCTCGGTCGTAGAAGGATTGCAATTTGCAAAACGGTCAGAATGGTCTTCTAAGGAAACGGCTGCATCAGACGGCGCTGTCCAACGCGGCCGATAGGAAGCAAGTTTTGCATTAACGCTTTGCATGAATGTTTGCTGTGGAGCAAAACACAGTGGGAAGAAATCAGAAGTACGCGCTAGGTGTTGGCAGCACAAAGATCTCCCGCGCGGTACCTGAGCCCACTGCACGCGTCCAAGCGCCGGGGTTGCCCACGCTGCCGGGGAATACCTGCTGGAGACTTGCTCGGTGGGGCGAGCGCCTCAAAAAAAGGAAGGAGGCAATCTTCTGCTCGGGCGCGAGGGGAAGCTGCCTTCGTGGGGGAAGAGAAGCTGGAGCTTCAGTGGAAACTTTGCATTTTCTCACTTGCATGTTCTGGGGTTTCCAAGCAGCTTCCCCTTTGCGTGTTCCCATCGCGGGGGGAAGGGGGCCCGCGCCGGACGGCATCGGAGTCTGATGCCGTTTTGAGCAAGCGGCAGGTCGAGCCCGCCCCTGGCGTGGCTGGGGGGGGGGGGGGGGGGGGGGGGGGAGGGCCCTCCAAGCCTGGCCTCTCCGCATAACTTTGGGCCATCCAGAGATAACCACATGCCTGATAGCCGGGCAGAGAACAAGCACAGAGCGGGCTGCCAGGGCTTTCAGTGCTATAATCCACTCAGCATCTCAGTGGTCCTAAATCTCCACCCCACCCAATGCCTCCTCCCTGTCGCAGCCCACAGCCCCCTTCTGCTGTCATGTTGCAGCAGCCTATTCCCAATCCTGCAAATGCACCTTCACCTCGATGCTGGGTCCCCCTGTTTTCCCAGCTGGCTGGGGCCTGCAATGCCATTTCCCTCCGAATTACAGTCTCCCTTCCCTAGACTCTTCCAAACTCAGCGCAACCATCAGCACCCTAAGGGACAAGATTTGTCCCATCACCAATGCTTCACTATGACCCTCTTCACCAAGCTGCCCCTTGAAGCCAGCTCCCGTGGCAGAGGAGACAGGCTCTTCCGCGGGAGGATGGGACAGTAACAAGCACAACTCGGCCAACCTTCCCGCGCACGCAGAGCCGGGAAGAGGCGCCCCAGGGTGCAGGGAGACGGCCGGGAGGGCAGGCTGGGGAGGCCAAGGGCAGGCGAGGGGCTCCAGCTGCG